GCGTACTGCACTGATCTGAAGCCAGGAGCCAGGTGCTTCCTCCTGGTCTCCCATGCGGGTGCAGGGCCCAAGCACTTGGGCCAACCTCTTCTGCCTTCCCAGGCCACAGCAGAGAGCTGGACTGGAAGAGGAGCAACCGGGCCAGAATCCGGTGCCCCAACTGGGACTAGAACCCGGAGTGCTAGTGCTGCAGGCGGAGGATTAGCCTAGTGAGCCATGGCGCTGGCCACACATTGGAATTTAAAATTGCATGATCTCCTTCACCAATAATCAATCCTAAGACAAGGCTAACCAAAGATCTGCGTTTAGAAAACAGGAAATTAAAGAATATCTTGTTGTATTCTGAAGTCCAAATCTGTTTCCTTTGAGATTCCTTTACTTCACAATATATCTTGTTACTTGATTTGAATCTTTATTTCATAATGTGGAACCCAAAGAAGCAATTTAATTCATCAATGCCAGAGATAGATGATTATTTCATGGTTTTTGCTGTATGCATTAATTCATCCATTTCAATTGTGCTAGGAGCTGGTGCTGTCTCATCTTATTTAAAAAGAAATCAAAACCCAGTAAGACTGCTCCTGTGGAAAGTAGGGCCCTTTGGGAAATTGCCTCCTAATTTTTAAGTAAATTACTCGTTTTGATTTGTACTTAGTAGGCTACTGCTTCTTATCATTAGTAGCTGCATGCTCATCTTCAAAAACCAGACTTCATTCTCTGGTTCAATTAAACTGGGGTCCCATTAATGAAAATAAGATCATCAGATTCCAGTCCTCTGCAGACTAGCAGTCATTAGCTAATGTGTACTGGGAATTGACAAAGTGAACAGTGAGCATGCATGGCTTTTGGGCAATACTCCTTTTTCTGAGGAAACACAGCAGCCCATTCCTCTTATTAATCCCCCAGGAATCTTACCCAAGCATTTTTCTGCTTCCTTGTCTTTGTTCCAAGTATTTTGCCCCATCTTACACTTCCATAATGATCTTCTTTGTTTATTTATTATAAATACTTATATGAGTATATATTGAATACTTTCAAAATCTGCTTTCTTCATAAATGACCTTAATTACAAACTTCATCTTGCCTCCCTCAAAATTGCTTCAGTGTTTCCATCATCAGAACCACACAGCCATAAAAGGAGTTAAGTGACCCAGTGGTCTCAACATTACAATCACTAGGGGAGTTTTTACAAATGTCATCACAGTCAAATAAATCAGCCTTTGAAGAGCACAGACATCAGATAAAAAAAATTCGTTTTTGCCTCAAGCATTCATAAAACGTCCCAGACGTTCCTCACATATAGTGAGTTAAGAACTGTATGGTGTCTTACTCAGGGAACTTCAAAAAGTTCAAGGAAAATTGAATTACAATATAAATTTATTTTGTAGCAAAATAACTTTGAAATCCATGCAGTTTCTTTGTAATAAGACATTTTTGCATGAGATTGTTGAAAACCCCTCAAAGGCATAGATTTCAATTTTTTTGTACCAAAGCAAACTTATTTTTTAATTTCTTTTCCAAAAAACTTTTTGAAGTTTCTACCCCTTGCATAGAGATAGAAAACTGGTAGCTTTGACATGTCTGGCCCATATAGGGTTTTCAAAAAATTTTAAGATGTGTTTTAAAATTGGGAGATTTATAGTAAACAACATGGGGGCTGGCACTGCAGCATAGCAGGTAAAACAGAGCTGGCATCCAAAATGGGTACTGGTTCGTGTCCCAGCTGCTCCACTTCCGATCCATTCTCTGCTATGGCCTGGGAAAGCAGTGGAAGATGGCCCAAGTCCTTGGGCGCCTGCACCCATGTGGGAGAACCATAGGAGGCTCCTGGCTCCGAATTGGCGCAGCTCCGGATGTTGTGGCTATCTGGGGAGTGAACCAGCATTCTGTAACTCTGCCTTTCAAATAAATAAATAAATCTTTCAAAAATATAAACAAATGGATGATCTGGTATGAGTGGGCCCACATTCTTAAAAGAAAACACTGGCTAAAAGTCAACCAACCACAGTTACCCTTGCTAGCCTAGGTGTGAGCTTACAGCTGGCTGCACTTGTCACCAATCCCTCAAAGGAGTTCAATGTGAACTGTCATTTATTGTATCAGTTATTGTATTATTGCTGTTAAAATTACTGTTTTAGTAGTAGCAGAACCATTTCTCTGAAGCACCTCATTCTTTCCCCACTCCTCACTGTTGAATTTGAAAATGTTTCTGTATGACAGAACTGCATGTTCCCTCTCATATATACAAGTTTTTTAAAAAGATTTTTGTTTTGAAAGACTTGATTCGAACTTTGGATAGTGACTGCTACAGACTGGGAAGGGTGGGAAGAGAGGGCTAGAGGGAGGTTGGATGATAGGTTCTAGTTACATAGGACTAATAGATTCCACCTTTCTACAGCAAAGCAGGATGACTCTAGTTCACAGTATTATAAACTATATGGTTCTGGACATGGAAAAGGGTGAAAAAATAGAAATTTTTGGGCTGGTGTTGTAGCATAGCAGGTTAAGCATCCACCTGCAGAGCCACCATCCCATATAGGCGCCAGTTTGTGTCCTGACTGCTCCATTTCTGATCCAGCTCACTGCTAATGGCCTGGGAAAGCAGTGGAAGATGATCCAGCTACTTATGCACCTTCTACCCACAAGGGAAATCTGGATGAAGCTCCTGAATCCTGACTGTTACATATATAAATACATCCTAAAAAAAAATAGAAATGTTATATGGTTGGATCAGTTGTATCTTTTTTTAAATTTTTATTTATTTATTTATTTATTTATTTATTTATTTTGACAGGCAGAGTGGACAGTGAGAGAGAGAGACAGAGAGAAAGGTCTTCCCCTGCCGTTGGTTCACCCTCCAATGGCCGCTGCGCTGTGGCCGGCGTACTGCGCTGATCCGATGGCAGGAGCCAGGTACTTATCCTGGTCTCCCATGGGGTGCAGGGCCCAAATACTTGGGCCATCCTCCACTGCACTCCCTGGCCACAGCAGAGAGCTGGCCTGGAAGAGGGGCAACCTGGACAGAATCCGGCGCCCCGACCGGGACTAGAACCCGGTGTGCCGGTGCTGCAAGGTGGAGGATTAGCCTAGTGAGCCGCGACGCTGGCCATGATCAGCTGTATCTTACAGCTTGTCTTGAAGTGCTGCACTGTGCCCTAAAAGATGCTAATCATAAATTAGAGACATAGATTATAAAAAATGTTAAAAGATGTTTACATGAAAGAAAAAAAAAGTTCCATGAGAAACAGTGACTTGACCAGCCCTTGTCCTGACTGTTGATGTACAATGGAATACTTTATCCCTTTTAGTATTTTTTTTTTGTTGTTCTAGTACTATTGGTTGAACTCTGTAATTAATACACAATTATTCTTAGGTGTTTAAATTTAACTGAAAAACGATCCCTGTTAAATGTAAGAGTGGGAATAAGAGAGGGAGGAGATGTACAATTTGGGACATGCTCAATCGGACTTGCCCCAAATGGTGGAGTTAGAAATGTGCCAGGGGATCCCAATACAATCCCATCAAGGTGGCATGTACCAATGCCATCTCACTAGCCCAAGTGATCAATTTCAGTTCACAATTGATCACACTGATAGGTCTAAGAGTCAAGGGGATCACACAAACAAGACTAGTGTCTGTTAATACTCACTGATAGAATAAAAAAGGGAGAGAACGATCCAACATGGGAAGCGGGATACACAGCAGACTCATAGAATGGCAGATGTCCTAAATAGCACTCTGGCCTCAGAATCAGCCCTTAAGGCATTCGGATCTGGCTGAAGAGGCCATGAGAGTATTTTAGGCATGGAAAGCCAAGACACTCTGGCAAAAAAAACCCAAAAAACAAAAAACAAAACAAAACAAAAACAAAAACAACTAAATGAAAAATCTCTGCGAGTGAGATCCCAGTGGAAAGAACGGGGCCATCAAAGAAGGAGGCACCTTCCTCTTTGACTATGGCGCTGTCGGAAGAAGATTGAAGTTGGCAAACTCAAAAGGCTTCCATAGCCTTGGCAACTTATAACTAGAGCCTAGGGAGATTACTGACGCCATAAACAAGAGTGTCCAATTGTTAAGTCAACAACAGGAGTCACTGTGTACTTACTTCTCATGTGGGATCTGTCCTTAATGTGTTGTCCAATGTGAAGTAATCCTAGAACTAGTACTGAAACAGTATTTCACACTTTGTGTTTCTGTGTGGGTGTAAACTGATGAAATCTTTAGTTAATATATACTGAATAGATCTTCTGTATATAAAGATAATTGAAAATGAATCTTGATGTGAATGGAATGGGAGAGGGAGTGGGAGATGGGAGGGGTGCGAGTGGGAGGGAAGTTATGGGGGGGGGAAAGCCTTTGTAATCCATAAACTGTACTTTGGAAATTTATACTTACTAAGTAAAAGTTTAAAAAAAAATAAAAAAAAAAGTTCTTATGTGTCAAATACCCAGGTAACCAGCCCGCTTTATTCATTCACATTATGCTCCTGGCCTCAGCAGTGACCTGCTTTTAGCTCCTGGTGTGATGGGTATACGGCCAGGACTGGATAAGTGCTAAGGGTACAGAAGAGTGAAGGACAGTGTCCTCTTTTTTTTTTTTTAATTTTTGACAGGCAGAGTGGACAGTGAGAGAGACAGAGAGAAAGGTCTTCCTTTTGCCGTTGGTTCACCCTCCAATGGCTGCCGTGGCCAGCGCACTGCGTCCGGCGCATTGCGCTGATTTGAAGCCAGGAGCCAGGTGCTTTTTCTGGTCTCCCATGCAGGTGCAGGGGCCAAGGACTTGGGCCATCCTCCACTGCACTCCCGGGCCATAGCAGAGAGCTGGCTTGGAAGAGGGGCAACTGGGACAGAATCCGGCGCCCCAACCGGGACTAGAACCCGGTGTGCCGGCGCCGCAAGGCGGAGGATTAGCCTATCGAGCCACGGCGCCGGCCAGGACAGTGTCCTCTTTTAAAGGATGCAGGCATATTTCGCTTAAAATTTGCTTGTCTGAGTACATACCTGTCTCTGCTGAACTCAGAGGATGACCTCCAAATTTCATTTCCGTTTGGCGGAGTTTGGTCATATTCAGCAGCTGTGTGACATGGGGAACATCTCGTGTTAGCTGGCAGCTTCGGGGAATAATGTCAGTAGGTTCATCTGTCGGAAACGGGGCACCATATACAGCTGGAAATAAAGACAAGCATTCATTCTCCAAATGTAAACCAGTGCCGGCATCCCATGTGGGCACGGATTCGAGTTCCAGCTGCTCTACCTTCGACCCAGCTCTCTGCTACAACCTGAGAAAGCAGTAGAAGATGGCCCAAGTCCTTGGGCCCCTGCATCAGCATGGGAGACCTGGAGGAAGCTCCTGGTTCCTGGCTTTGGATTGGCACAGCTCCGGCTGTTGTGGCCAACTGGGGAGTGAACCAGCGTAGGGAAGACCTCTCTCTCTCTCTCTCTCTGTTTCTCTCTGCCTCTCCTTCACTCTCTATATACCTCTTTCAAATAAATAAATCTTACATTAAAAAAAAACATAACAAATGGAGAAGATTGAGAGGGCTGTACACAGTAAGAGCACTCAGTGGAAATATTTTACATCTGTTTTTCAATAGTAGTAGTGTGACCATCAGAGAACTAGTTAAATATACTATTTAAGATTCTGAGGGGGCTGGAGCTGTGTCTCACTAGGTTAATCCTCCACCTGTGGTGCCGGCATCCGATATGGGTGCCGGGTTCTAGTTCTGGTTGCTCCTCTTCCAGTCCAGCTCTCTGCTGTGGCCTGGGAACGCAGTGGAGGAAGGCCCAGGTGCTTGGGCCCCTGCACCTGCATGGGAGACCGGGAAGAGGCACCTGGCTCCTGGCTTCGGATCGGCGAGCTCTGACTCTTGCGGCCATTTGGGGAGTGAACCAATGGAAGGAAGACCTTTCTCTCTGTCTCTGTCTCACTGTCTGTAATTCTACTTGTTAAATTAAAAAAAAAAGATTTCTGGAAGTACATCTACTCATTTATATGAGATCAATAAGTATAATGACCATCTAAGCACTCACAGGCATTAAAGGAGTAAATAATTTTTAACTTTCTATTTTTGAAATAAACTTAGACTTCTAAAAAGCTAAAAAAAATTCAAAGTTTCCCTTCATAATATTTTCTCAGTTTTTCCTAATGTTAACATATTTTACCTTTGAATACTTGCAAAGAAAAAAAGTTTATTATATTTAAAATATTATTTTAAAATCAAATATATTTATTCAAATATTTTAATTTTCTTGTGAGTAAATTTTCTGTTTAAGTTCTTAAGCTTTTGTACTATTAGTGTACTTTTCTCTACTAATTTATATGAATGCTCTTATGGGAAATGTATTATTTTTTGTCATTTGTATTAAGTGGGAGTATAGATTGGTAGTCCTATTCTAAAAGCAATTTTACTTTGTGTATCAAAACCCTCAAAAATGCTCATACCATTTTACTAATTTTATTTTATGAATCTAAGTAAAGAAAATTAGAAACTCAAAGATCTTTGTAAATAGTTATTTGTCATTTCTGAAAAATAAACCCTTAAATTTCTAGCACTTGAAGAGTACTGAAGTTTTTCAAGGTATGGGACAGTGAAGAATCCTTATGAACATGTCCAAAATATATGGGCAAGGCTCAAGACAACTTAAATAAAAATAATGGGTACAGCATTCTTACCTGCAGAAAAACATATATAAAATGAACAACTGACAAAAAGTTGGGAAGGAAATTTACCAAAATGTAAAACCATTTTGGGTGATTAGTTTGAGTACAGTTTTTCAACCTCACAATCATATATATATATACACATATATATAAAAATTTATACACAAATATATATACATATATACATTTGATTTTTAAGAAAGTGATTCATTTATTTATTAGAAGGTAGAGACACAGAGAGAGGGAGACAGAGAGGGAAGGAAGGAGTGAGGGAGGGAAGAAGAAAGAGATATCTTTCATTGCTGGTTGACTCCCCAAATGTCTTCAATAGTACAGGTTTAAGCCAGGAGCCAGGGACTCCATCTGGTTTTTCCAAGTGAGTGGCAGGGATCCAAGTACTTGGGACCATCACTACTACGTCCTGGTATATTAAGCAGGAAGCTAGATCAGAAGTGGAGTAGCCAGGACTTGAACAGGGCACTCTAACAGCAGATGCAAACATCCTAAGAGGGGAACTTAATGTACTGAGCCCCAACACTCATGCATATATGTCTGATTTTTACAAAGCCTCCATTTTTAGAACTTAGAGGAAAAAATTGTGTATGTATATGTAAATGTAAGTAGTAAGGAAAATCCAACCAATCCTCACTCAAACAACACCCTTATGTAAGTGTAAATTTTTACCACATTTACAAAAGCAAATGTTGGTAGAAAAGATTTCTGTGCACCTGAGCCAAGGTATTTTTCTAATTATATCCTAATGTCCTAATCTGGAAAAAGAAAATGAATCACTTAACTAAAAAGTTCAGTACTTATTGGCAATATAATAATAGTACCTTAGTATCTCGATGCTCCAGACATTTAAAATGTACTATATTTATACATTTTAGTTTCTAAATATTCTATGTCCATCCATTCTTTGTCACTGACAGTTAGAAAATCAAATAAAATAATTGCATAAATGAGCTTAAAACAAAGAAAGCATCTGGAAAAATAACTAAACCGACTGAGATACCTATTTAGCACAGCATATCTAACTCCTCTGAGGCTGAAAGTGATGTGACTTCCACATCAGTGCCAACATTGACAATTCACGATTTTATATTAAAAGATGGGAATTCTGAAGAACATGAATCTGAAATAAAATGCTATATTTGAGAAAGGCATATTTAAGCTGCCTCGGAAATGCTAAGTAGGCAGTGGCCTCTTGAAATGAGGTGGTGGCCATCATTCACATGAAGAAAACCCAACAACGGAAGGCTGTGAAGGCAGAAGGACTCCACTTCACCTTGGAGCTGAAGAGGGAAAGAGTTCTACCAAAGCATTGAGGGGGCAAACCCCAAGGATCTATTTTGTACAACACCTGCTTCTAAGGGGATGCTTGGTAACCACCCATGGACAAAGCCCTGTCATAACAGCTTGAATTACATTACATTCAGCTCTCACATCTCTCATTTTTTCTTCTTTGGCTGTTATTTGCTTAGTTACATCCTGAGAAGTACTCTAGGCACATTTTATTTGGATACCACAATTTTTCCCCCAGGTAGCAAATAATAAATCAGGCCAGTAATCAGATCTAAAGGATTAGGGATTTGTTTCAGTCAAATTCTATCTTCTCGTAGGGTCTGTGTATGGAAACACACAGACTGCCTGATCAAGCGTCTGGATAATGACATAGTGAAACCTAAACCACTTTCTCCAAAAAAACTAAAGGCACATAATGCTGGCTGGAATGGTCACTTCAGAATGGTGAAACAGCACATGAAGGAGAAGGCTCTCAGAAGGCTGACAGGTTTGTTCCTGTAGCCACCAAACAATTAGATGTTGGAAATTTTGGTATCCGCTTCTGGTATGAGTTAGTGTATTATTATAGTGTTTGAGAGTCTTTGCAATCCCATTTGCTTTGCTTTGGCCATTAAGCCATCACAAAATGAACCATTCTGTAAGTGTTTAATATCTTTGATGATCTTACCTAGCTTTAAAAATTAAATCATCATTTTAATACATATATAAAATACTTTATTCATTAAAAATCATCATCCTCATTTCATAGGGGACATGCCCAGTAAGCTTGTGACATTTATAGGTCTGCCTTGCTTTATGACTCTACCTAATTCAGACATTTTAAACAAGGGACTAAACTCATGACATCCATCTTATTTATCTGGAAACAGCCAGTAGCGTCTAGCACAGTGCCTTATTTATATCAAACTTCACCTTCCTAAAAGACCAGTTGAGAGCCAAGTACAAAATACAAAGTCTCTGCCAAAATAGTGCAATAAAGTCTGCTTATTCATTCATTTGCTTTATAACTATCAGGTTTTCTCTGAATCCAGCATGGATTCAAATCCTTGCCCTTAGGAGTTTGTCACATAATCCAAAAAATCTTAAGAAGCAATATATTACTGTAGTTAAGAGCATAGGCTCTGGAGCAAGGCATCCTGGGTTCATATCCTGCTCCACGACATACTTATTAGTTAAGTGACCCTTAAATAATCACATTACCTTGCTGTATCCTGTTTTCATCTACAAAGTTGGATATAAAAAATTACATTCTATATTGGGCTACTGTGATGATTAAATAAGGTTTAAATAATGATTAATGTATATGGGCAGTTGATAATACTGCCCGGTACATGCCAAGTATTTCATAACTGCTTTCTATTAATAACATAAATACAAAGTCAACAGAAAAATGAAATTAAGACATAAATTTAATCTGCCAGAGAAAATTACTGAAATCTATACATACTTTTCTTCACAGTACATATTTTCCATGAACTTTTTGAAGACCTCTTGTACTTTGCAGATTATCTAACTATGGTGATGACAAAACCACTACTTTTTAAAATGTGTTTTTCAGTCAGAAAAAGTTTTGATGTCTGAAGGGGCAAATAAACTTAGGCTACACCAAAAACTTGGCTTTCCTGAATGAACTATGTCCTTATAGCTTTTAAAAAACAATTTGAAGAGAAATTCACATCAATATAAAATCAACCATTTCAAAGTGAACTACTCAGTGGCACTCAGTACACTCACAATGGTGCATTACAATCCTGACTATCTGCTTTCAAAATCCTTCCATCACTCCACTGTAAACACCTTACCCATTAAGAAGTTTCTACCCATCCTCTTAAGTCCTCAGTGCCAGGAACACACAAATCTGTGCTCTGTCCCTATAGGTTTGTCTATTCTGGATATTTCACACAAATAGAATCATACATTATGTGACTTTTGAGTCTGGTTTCTCTCACTTAGCATTGCATTTAATACTAATACATTTATCATGTATTAGTATTTTATTTCCTTTTAGGAGTAGGTATTATTCTATTGTAGTATATATGATATGATTTTGTTTGTCCCTTCAACTACTGATGACATTTGGGCTGTTTCCATATTTTGGTTATTGTGATAGTGCTGTTATGAACATGTGAGTACATGTATTTGTTCGAGTACCTCTTTTCCATTCTTTTGGGTATATATACAGGAGTGGAATTGCATCATC